AATGAACTTTTTTCAGCACTTAGCCCAGGCCAGGTGCTGGTCGCGGCCCTTTCCCTGTATGACCTCACTAATCCTCCCCGCAGCCCTGTGGGGCAGATACCAGTATCATTGCCATTTCCTAGAGGGAGACACTGGGGGAAAGATGACATCATTTTTCTGAGGTTTAGGGGGACCGATCTTTACTGTGTGCCCAGCACTGATGGGGTCCTGGGACATGGGATTCTCAGTGCTCACACCGGGGAAGTCCCCACAACACAGCCTGGTTAATCACCTCCCCAAGGCCCCATGTCAGGAACCAGCTGGCAGAGCTGATATGCAAAGCCTGGCAAGCTGACCTCGGTGCCTGTCCTCGACACAACGCATCTAAACCCTTAAGGCTTAGGTTAAATTACAGAACACTGAAACCACTGATACTGGGCAGGGCATAAGTCAATAGTCCAACAGAACTAGGAATCCAGAAGCACACCTGTCTATACTTGGTATTATCAGTGGGGGAAGGACTCAACAAATGTCACTAGGATGACTGGTCATCTCACCTATGTGGGGGAAAATAGATGCTGACCCCATGCAATAAACAATAAATTCCAGTTATACTAAACGTGAGCAGCGAAAAGTTAAAATTTAGAAGAAATGATAAAAAATCTCTTTTGGAGCTTAGGAAAGAGAGTAGGATATCTTGAACCAAATTTAAAAAGAAAAATGGGCAAATGATGAGAATAAGTAACTCAAAGAAGAAAGACAAAGAACAATATAAACACAGAGTCTGCGAGTCTCCAGTAATAGGAAAATGACAGTGGGGACAATGAAATATTTCAGTTCAGCTTGGCGCCACTTAGGCTGAAAATGTCACGTTAGAAAAAACGTGGGTAACCAGAACCAGCAGGCATCTAAATTGGTACAAGCAACTTAGAAAGCAACAGAGCAAAATACATTAAAGGAGAAAATGGGCTACAACTCAACCACTCATTTATAACAGACTCCCCAGAGCTCACGCCGGTGTGTACACAGAGAAGTGCAAGTATCCTCCACCACAGCAACACCACAAAGTTGGGGAAAACAGATGTTTATCACCAGAGGAGTGCACACTTTATGGCTTAGTCATTCAGTTAAAAGGAATGAAGCGGGGCCGCCCCAGTGGTGCAGCAGTTAAGTTCGCATGTTCCACTTCAGCGGCCTGGGGTTCACTGGTTTGGATCCTGGGGAGAGGACATGACATGGCTTGACAAGCCATGCTGGGGTAGGTGTCCCACATATAAAGTAGAGGAAGATGGACATGGATGTTAGCTCAGGGTCAGTCTTCCTCAGCAAAAAGAGAAGGATTGGCAGCAGATGTTAGTTCAGGGCTAATCTTCAAAAAAAAAAAAAAAAGGAACAAAGCAAGTGCATATATCAACATGAATAAGTCTTTAAAAACATATCGATTTAAAAAAAACAAGTGGCAAAGGCTGTTGTTGTATATAGTAGGGTACATTTACATAATATTTAAATACAAGAACAATATCAAGTATTGATTAGGGCTCTGCATATGCACATGAACCCTCCAACTTAGGAGCAGTGGTTGCTTCTGCAGGAGGAGGAATCAAATGGGAGGGAGACAGGGATTCTGATAAATAGATCTTTAACATTTCACGGCTTAAGTTTTAGTACTTCTGAAGCGTATATTTAGTAAAATCTGGTTGGCAAGAACATGTGTATGACAGTTAGTGTCGTTTTTTCAACTTCTAAAATATTTCACATTTTATGAGACAATGGGTGATGGGGACCAAAATTGTTTTTCAATCATCTTTTCCATGATAATATCTCAAATTATACTGAAATTGGCTGGAAAAATGATTTTAGTTCAGAAGTTCCTTGGCATGCCTCACTTCAGGAACGCATCGTGGGCGCAGCTGCACTCTGAGAGTTAACACAGACTCTGATTCCAGTGCGGGCGCCCAAGATCACTGCCAAAACCCAGGATTTAAAAGACAAAAGCAAAAGAGCCAAACCAGGTTCTCAGATGACATTCAGATTCATGTGAGCATAGACCTCATGAGAAATGCTTAAATCCTATCCTGGCTTTAATTACAAATACAGCAAAACACAAAATGAGGATCTTTTGGTCAAGCTGCAGGGTGGCACTCAGCACGGCCCACGGAAGGATGGCATGGCAGGGTCCCTCAGCAGTCCCCAGAGTGGCCCATCGAGACTGCCCCAGCGACCCCAGCTCCCAGGAGCAGGTGAACGGCTGGAAGGTCCAGGCTGAGTCCAAGGAGATGGCCTGAATTTTTAAGCAGTTGCCTGGAAGCTGAGCTCATAATGTAGCCTTGGGATGACATGAAAGCCTAAAGGATTAAAAAAATATCAATATGATGCTGAATTATTTGGCCTTCTCCATCCCAATCTAGCAATTGGAGGCAAGGTATTCTGGGCATTAAACAAAGCACAAGGAAGCCGAATGAAGAATGAGCTGGAGGAAGTGTGAGGATGGAAACGGCAGCCTGTCACAAAGCGTGAGATTCAGTGCACACAGTTCAAATGACAAAGTTTATCACAACCACCTTGCCATTCTATTTAAAACCCAATGAAATTACAATCTCATTGCTATAGACATGATAAGTATCCCAAAGATAGAGTACAAGATTACAAAATGTCTACCACGGCCTGTTAAGACCCCATCTGCGTCATGACACAGGCTGGGGAGCGCCTGCACCTGCCTCTTAGCAGAGGCTCACCCGCCGAAGCCGACGTCCCTCCTTTGCACGGCGAGGGCACTAACAGGACAGGCTGCGGGACTCCTCCGCCAGGACTGTGAGACCGTGCCGCCAAGGTCTGCAGACAGCTCCTGGCAGGGAAGCAATCAGTACACGCCTTTTTAAGTAACAAGTGCTGGGATAAGAACGTTAAGTTTAATAAAATACTAAACACACAGAGAGAAACAGCTACGGAGACTGTTTCCTAAAACATTGTGTCTAGATTATATCTGCTTCACTTTCTCCATGCCAGAGAGCTGATAATTAGAAAACTGAACAGATTACGGAGCTGGTTAGTACAGCTCCGGGAGTCACAGGGCCCCAGGGCCAGCCATTTGGTACAGAAGAAACATCGGAAAATGTTTCTCTCACCGGTCTTGGTAAATCATACTGTAGGAACAATTTAGCTTAAAAGGCCTCTGGAACACATTCTGATACAAAACAAAATTTTTTTGCAACTGTAATGAGTTCATTACAACATCATCTATGCCAGGAAGAAAAACGTTCAGCTTCTTTAGGTGATGTAGTTGCATTCCTTAAAAGAGCCTTTACTTTCCGCAGCTGTAACATCTATCCAATTAGGTCTATGTTAACTGTATTTATAGATTTTTAAAAGAAAGTTTTGAAGCATTTAAAAATGGATGTGATGTTTGTTTCCACAGGAAAGAACAGAAAGAGCAGAATGAGAAGTGAGAGAAGGAACCGTGTCCGTCTGGGGAGCACGGTCACAACAGCAGGGCTGATCGCTCATGGACACGGCGGACCCTCAGGGTCGTCTGCACGCCCTCCTGAGACCCTACCATAAGGAATCCTAATAATCACCATAAAACACTCAAAGAGTTGGAGAGAAGAGAGAGCGACCGAGCTTTGGAAGATGGAAGAGGTTATCCACTCAGCAGAGGAGAGCAAGCAGGAACCCCGTCTCCCGGTGGGGGGCCATCAGCAGGGTGAGATGGCTGAGCAGCATCCCAGAAAGGCTTGGGAATGGCAGACTGGGGGCATCTCTGGGGCCAGCACAGGCTGGGCTTAGGGGCTGTCCAAGTAGAAGCAGAGCCCCAGGTCCCTTGCCAAGCCAGCAGAGCTGGCCGAATGACCCCCGTGTCCCACAGACTAGGAGATGTACTTTCTGGAGACACTGAGGCAGGGAAGATCTGCACTCAGGGACCCCAGTCATAGCTCGAGGGAGGGTGGGAGCAAGGTGCCAACCAGAAAACGAAAGGATTAAAGAACAACCACAAAGCACACTTAAGGGTGAGACATCCACTTGAACTCTGATCCCGTCAGCTCACAGGCCCTGCATCCAGCTTAAATCCTCAGCAGGAGGCTTCAGGGTTCTTCTTTGGGGAACCAGACCAGGCTAAGAAAACAGAGAAGGTCAGCGATGCATGAAGGTCCCTGTGCCAAATGTGTGCTTCTGAAGCACAGAGAACTTTCGATCAGCTCTTCGGTGTCTCCTTCTTAAATATAAACAGAGAGCCGAAATTCAGACATTTGGAAAAGTCACGGCGGGGGGGGGGGGGTGGGGGGAGGAAACTCAGAGCTACTAGTGAGAATGAAGTCAGCAAAAGAATGCCTAAAAAATAAAAATGAACGACTCCAAGAGTTTAGAGAATTCTTGCACCCAGGAAAATGAATAGAACACTAAAAAAAGAAACATTCACAGAACAAGAATATCTCTTGGAAATTAAATATCTGGTAGCAGAAGCAAATAACCTGAATAGCAGGGTTGGGAAAGGAAATTAAACAAACTCTCCCAGAAAGTAGAACAAAAATGCAAAGATGAAAAAGACTTAAGAAAATTAGAGGATGCTGTCAGGGATCTGGGACATCCAGCTGATAGCAGTGTCAGAAAAAGCAGGATAAGGACAGTGAGGAAGAAGTAACTGAAGAAATAATACATGGAATTATCCCGGCACCTTACAGCGTGAGCTTTCACAGGAAGGGCCGCAGAGTGCCCAGCACAGCACTGACAAGCACTTAGCTAAAGCACACCATCAGGAAATGTGGAAATACCAGGGATCGAAAGAGGAGAAAAGCTTCCAGAAGAAACAAACAGGCTGATTCCAAGGATTGGCAGAGTGCCACCAGCTTCTCAAGCAGCAATGGGCCTAGAGACCATGAAGAGATGTCATAAAATACTGAGGAAATGCGACTTCCACCTTGGAATTTTATACCTAAACAAACCAGCTGTCAAGGGTGCAACACATAGACATATTTGCATGCAAAGTATAGCAGACACACATCCCAACCTTCTTTCTTACTCGCAGAACCCTGTTTTGTTTGAAACAACAATGTGTACAGCTATTTCCTTTCCTATCTTCCCATGTGGGTAGCAGTGGCCCTGTGCCACAGTAAGGCCAAGAGAAAAATCTGCTACGAAGGTTTCTGGAAATGTTCTTATTCTCCCGATAAAATAGATTTCACTGACTCTGATTTTTGCCTCTTCTGCCCTATTACTGCCTGGAATACAGATATAATGCCAAGGGCCACAGCAGCCATCATGACACCAGGAGTCAGTAAGCATAAAGGCAAAAGTCAACATGTAAGTATGGCAGATACAAACAAAAGTAAGATCCTGGGTCCCTGCTATTATCAGATCCTGACTCACTACACCAGCTTCCACACTGCTTACTTCACAACTGCTTCTCACGTAAAGGCAAAGAAAAAAAGGAATGAAAATTGCTGTAGTCAGGTTTTCTATTATTTCCATTCGAAGTCATTCCAAACAAGTTATGAAAAATTTTATCTCCCACACACTTCACACCTCAGGTAGTTACTAGAAGATGTGCTCCACAAAATTAAGGAATAAACTAAGAAAAAGAAAATTATGATGCTCAGAAAACAGGTGATGCAACTCAGAAAGGACACAGAGGCATTCCTAGCACCTCGGAGAAAGGGCAGTCCAGAGAGGGCAGCCGTATGGCGTGCCTGAAAGTCCCCGTTTTATATTGGAGCAGGTGGATAAAGGGCTCCAGGAGAGAGACCGCCAAGGAAAACAGATAATGGGTAATTCCCTGTGTGTCTGATCACACTGAAAAGAGTTTAATAATTCTCCCAGAAAGTCCAGAGGTAAAGATTGGGACACAGGAAACAAAGCCAAACAGGAACAAAAACAAAAACAGAAAGCAATTATTAACTGTAGGAAAAACAACAAGTTGTAAGGGGATGAAGTATAATTATAGAACACTGCAGCTCAACTGTGAACAGTACGTGCAAAGTGTTCAAGTGCAAACATGGAACTTTTTTAAAATGTTGGCAATATTACTCTGGAAAGTTGGAAAGAAGAGAAGCCAGTGTGGCTGGAGGAGAATGAGCAAGGGGGAGAATGATCAGAAAGCAGATCATAGAGGAGAACAGAGACTGGGTTATCCAGAGGTTTGGATCGCCCTAAGAACCACAGAAAGCCACCGGGGAGTTTTAAACAAGAAACCGGCAAGAGTCAACTCATGATGGACAATGATGACGCTGGCTGTGGTGCTGGCAAGAATGCGCTGGGCAGGGCAAGAGAGAAAGCCAGCAGACCAGTTAAGAGGATACGACAACAGGGGTAAGAGGCTTCTGCAGAAGAGAGGAAAAGGAAAAAAACGTGGCCCAGATGGGAGAAATGGGGGGAAGGTGGGTAGATAGAACACATTTTGGAGGTTAGTGCCTTACAGAGGGAAAGGGGAGCCTCCCGGGGATGGCTTTCCAGGTGTTATGAGGCATCTTGAGGAGGCAGAGGACGTTGTTACTGAGGTGCGAATTCTGGGGGAGGAACGGGTTCAGGAATGGAGGGTCTGGAATCCAGTGTTCTGTTTTGGACCTGTTAGGACTGAGATGCCACTGAAGGGCACTAGGCAGGCGAATGTTCTGGACTCAGGGTAACACACAGAGAGACAAACCCAGGAATATGCTCTGCCTTCAACAAGTAGCCTCCTCCCTTGTCTCTGGCCAACATGAAGAATCTCTCATGAAATGCTTGGATTCTGAAATAATCTCAGTGCTACAATCTGGTGCACTGACTAGGAGCTGATACTGAGAATCCAAGTGAATCCCGGGATGTCACAAACTGTGACCCACTCAAAACGTTTAGGCCTAACTGGTTTTCTATTTCGACTCATATTTATCCTAAGGGAAAGCTCTCTCCACCAAAGCTGCAGTCGTAAAATAATAAAGTCCCCCTCTATTAAATAATTTCCCATTATTAGCTTGATTTAGTAAACATTGGCTCTAACAGATAATACCGTCCATGGTCAGTGGACTTCTGTTTACACGGAGAGCTTGTGCCCGGTTGGAGATCCCTCAGGCACACTCTGAGATTCAGTTCCAGGTTTTGAAAAGGTCTCTCTGAAAACACTTTCAAAAGGACCAATTTGTGGAAAAGTCTTTCAAAACACTTTGGACTACCACTATTTCCATTTGCAGGTCATCGACTTCTTTGATGGCCAGCGGTATTCTTTCTTGGCCTTCTTACTGCTCCTTCATTACTTTGTGCAAGTCTTACTTAATCATTAATTCCCAAATGAGTCTTCACTGCCCTGTGGATTTTAATGAGAGCTGGGTTTTAGCCACATTACTGTACGTGTGGTGGGGGCGGAGGGCAGCAATGGCAATTGCAAAATAAAATGTACCATAAAGTGGTACAGTTCGCGACTGAGGCCTGTCGTTGAAAAATAAACGCCTGTTACATAGAATCACAGAAATTGAGAGTTGGAGGCCAAAGCAAGTCATTCGTAGGTAGACCGACAGCGCCTCTAGCGGCAGAAAGGCGATGGCGGCGGTGGCGGAGATCCAGAGAAGCTTCTGAACTTTTAAAAAGGCACCTGCTGGGTCAGTGCTCATTATGCAAAAAGAAAGGATCCACGGGTGCCCAATTTTAAGGAGATACAACTCGGGAAAATTTAGATCTATAAAATAACTATAATAGCCACACTTTAGTTTAATTTCGAAATGAGCTGTCGCTTTACACAAGGCTGATTTGACTTTATAGGTGAGAAACTGATGGCGTGGAGGCAGGCGTGAAAAATCTGCTAAATTTGGCCGCCACAGACAACTAGGGAGCAATTCGGAATTTAAAAAAGAGAAAGAAAAACTAAAGAAGTCGACCAAAGTGTCTATTTTACAAATAGCGTGGAACACACCTGGCATACCTGCGGAGAAGGGGACTGCTCACCTGCGTGGCTACTGCGCGTCCCCCAGGTGTATCTCTGGGGGAGACGGGTGGAAAGGAAACTTCCAGAGGGCCGACCCAGAGCCTGGGGGGCGGGGCGTTCACTCAGGGACAGGGTCAGTAAGATGACCTGAGGAGCATCAGCCAGGGCAACACTATAACTGTCAAGACATAGACAGACACCCTAGCAAATGACCCCCAGGGGTTGGGTTGGGAAGCAATGGGGCAGCAGCCTCGAGGCTGTGCCATCCGGCTACCCGCAGGCAGCTTCTGGGCCCGACTCAAGCGCTCCTCCTCCCGCCGGGAATTGGCATCTGGTGGGGGGCTGTCCCCTCCGCCAGGAGCCTCAGCCCCCCCCCCAGCTGCGCCCCAGTGCGCCCCCTCGCGGGGCAGCCCCGCCACTTGGCGTCGCCCCAGTGCTGCGCGTGGTGCCCCTCGGGGCGAGGTCCCCAGCAGCGGACGATCCCGGGCGGCTGGCGGGAGAGGAGAGCTGGGCGCCGGCGGGGAGCCGCCTGGGCTCGGCGACTTACCTCGGGCGGCGCGCTCGCTGCCCTCGTCCCTGCCCTTCAGTGCCGCAGCTTGCGGGCGGGGAGCGGGCGTGGGACCGAGGGATTCCCTGCTGCAGGGAGTCAACTCCAACCGCTCCGCAGCCCCGCCGCCGGTGAGCTCGTCTACGCCGTCATTTTTTCAAAGCTTTCCCCCGTGTGCGCGCGCGCTGTGCTGGCAGGAGCCAGCCTGAGCCTTAGCCCGGGAGGAGGAAGATCCCTGGTGAGAGAAGGAGGTCAGTGGTCTGGATCCCCCGCCAACAGTCACCGGCCTCATTACCAGGGGCAAACGATCGTCTCCCCCGCACCCAGCTGCCGGCGACGTCCCGCGGGCTCTAGAGAGGGCACATGGTCCCGCCCGGGGCGGCTGGGGGCGGGGCTCCCTGGGGCGGCGCGCCCAGCGTCGCAGACGCGGCTTGGTGGCGGTGCGGGCGCCCAGAGCGCTCGCATCCCACCCTGGAGGATGCGGCCGCGGGGGCGGGCGCTGGCTGCCAGCGGCACGGTCCGCGGCCCGGCCCAGCTTCCCAGTCAGAGGCGGGGAGCGGTGGCTCGCGGATCCCTCCCCCACTCCCGGCGAACCTGCAGAAGGCGGGTGGCGGGTCTGAGAAGCGGTCCACCGCCCACGTCTCAAAACCGACCCGGACGGCGGCGGCCTGAGGAATCAGCCTGGACTCAGGGGCGGGCGGCTCCGGGCGTTCGGTTCTGACGCAGTGCTTCAGGTTTCCGGGGGCGGGTTGACTCCCGTATCCTTCCCGTGGCCTGGACCCAGGAAAGAGCGCATGGCGATGTTTCCCAAACTTGCCTGATCCAGAGAAGCATCTGGGTTTGTGTGTGAGCAATACAGATTCCCGGGCGCCCTCCCACGCCCTTGGAATGGGACTCTCCAGGCCGGGGACCCAGGGGACCGCTGGGGGTGGGGGTGGGCAGCATGCCGCGCGTGGAGGGCCCTGCCCTCAATCCTGGTTCCTGGCGTCCCCGCCTCCTCCACTGCAGCCTCCCTGAGCTGTGAAGTCAGGACTCCAGTGCCCTCTGGGGACCATCCGGAGCTCAGCGAGGGGGTTACGCAGACTCAAGGGGCTGGCTGGCTGTATCAAGGGGGGCTGCGACCCACCTTGGGGGGCTATGGCGATCCCCAACCTTGGCGACTTATTAGAAGGAAGCGAGTTGAGATAAAACCACCCCACCCAGATTAATTAACTCGGAATCCCTGCAAATGGGCAGAGCCTGAGTCAAAGCCCCAGGTGCTTCCACTGTGCAGGCAGGCCAGAGGACCAAGCGCCCCGCCGCAGCCTGTCCTGTGCCCTCCCACCCAGTCTCAGGGGCCAAGAGCCCGCAGTTGAGGAAACCCCCTCCCTCACCATTCCTTCCTACTGGAAAGTGGCTGTTGCTCCATCTGCCTCCTGCCCCCACGTGTCTGCAGTGCCCAGGAACCCTCAACCCTCTCAATAAGGTGCAGGCCTTCTTCACAAACCAAAAGCGGGACCCACTGGCCCAGAGGCCCCCGTCAGTGCCAGGGCATCTCAACACTCCTGGAAGCAAGGCTAGGGTCCAGCCCCAGCTTCAGTCCAGCCCTGCCACATACCTGCTCTGCACACCCTTTCCTTGTTCATTCGTTTGCTCCATCAGCAATTAGCAACGCTGTGTTAGGGGCTTGAGAAACCCAACTAATGAGAACCCCCGCTTGCCTCAGAGACTTTTCTGTCTGGTAGGACAGACTGACAAATCACGACTATCAAACGAACCGTGTGAGCTGGCTACTTAAACTTTTTAATAAGCATTCGATTGTTTGTTAACTGCTACATCATTTATTATGTACTTCAAATAATTGTAGGATTGTGCTAAAGTGCTTCCCATGCATTATTTCATTTTAAAATCCTGACTATCCGAATGAGAACCTGCAGCACAGAGAGGTTAAGTAGCTTTCCCATAGTCACACAGCTAGGAGGTACGTCGGAGCCCCCACCAGAGCTGTCTGCAGACACAGCCTGTGTGTTTCTGACTGCCAGACTTCAGGGACACATCTGTTAGGGGAAAGTAAGAGGCAAACCTTCCAGGGGGCTGTGAGCATGGAAGGCTGATGTGACGCCTGAGCTGTGATGAGAATTCCCGCCCTGGCGTTTGCAGTGGTGATTCTCCCTAGGAAGGGTGGCCTGAGAAGGACAGTTTCACTGGGACTGGGGTGGTTCTGATCCCTGTGTTCCAGAGAACTTTCAGAAACGCTGCTCCTGAAACTTAAACATTGTTTCCTTTGAAGTCAAGGGGACGGACCAGCTTGGGGACAGTCCAGCTCCGGCGCCTTGAATCCTCCTGACTGGTCACGTTGTCCACTCGTAATGGACCTGATAGGTGCTGGGCATTACACACTTTCCCTCCTAAAGACCCACTTCTTTTCCATCTTTAATATCCAGCTGCTAGCCTTGACTGTAGGAGTCCAATTTTCTTTTTTTAAACCTGGAAGTTACAGAGCTCTTTCCAAGGGGCTAAATGTGCCCCAGCACTGACCTTGGTTTGTTCCTGATGGAATGAAACAGAAGAGCCAGTGCAAGGGGAAGAGGACAGGAAGGGAAATCCACCCACAAGCCCTGGTTCCTCAGCCTTCTAGTCCCCCTCTCCGTGCAGCAGGGAGCCCGGGCTGGCGCTATGTCCATGAGGACTCCACGCTCCTCAGTAACAGCCAGCGGGGCCGAGAGCAGACCTCCCCTGGGGCAGATGGTGGGCCCCTGCGTGGGAACCACCTCCTCGCTCACAGTAAGTGAGAGCCGGCATGGCATTCGGCCCTGGACTGGTAGGTGACGGTATGGGTCGGAGGCCAGGATCTGCTCCCTGAAATCTCAGATAGGTGGCTCCTTGTCCCTTCCTCTCCAGAACTGCCCTGTGCCTGTGTGCTATTTTGTTCAACAGCCTGGGCATTCACCACGAACAGGGCACTGATCTCTTACCCAAGCTCACATTTGGCTCCATCTGCTCTGAGTACCAGCAGGCGGAAAATGGAGGCCGATTTTCCTAAGCCAGGATTTTACAGGCAGCCCATGCTGATCTCTGTGTAAGTGAAGGGCCGGCCTCCTTGTAGCTCCACCTGTTGATGGAGCTTCAGACATGGGCTCCTAGAACAGCTTTGACCTCTCCAAGCACAGCTCCCAAGGCTTGCTGCAAAAGGAAATGGACAACCCCCCATGATTACCATTTTGGAAATCGTGTCAATTCCATCTCTTGGGGAGATTGAAGCTCCTGATCCTCGCACCCACTTCTTTTCCCAGATCTTCTCCCTTCAAGAATCTATGCCTTCACCTCCTCAGAAACCTGCTCCTGAGAGCCTCCTCTGGGCCGATTAACCCCTCTTGGCTCTGACACCTCCGTTACCACACAGCACAGACTCGGTACTTATGTGGCCCATCCAGATGCCAAAGTAAGCATGTTCCTGGGGGGATCAGGAACTCATGGATGCTCTCGGTCAGGAGGAACACGGGAGGTCGCTTAGGCTAAATCCTCCCCATCTCTACTTATCTGTGTCACCTGCCGATTGACCATCCCACTTCCCCTTTTATACCTACCGTGATGGGGAACTCATTACCTCCCAAGAGAGCCCATCTTTGAAGTACCCCAAGTGACTGAAAACCCCAGGGAGGAGCGGAGAGCCAGCATGGCCAGAACAGCAGCTTCTGAGACAGCCCTCCTGGCTGCACACGCCCGTGCTTTTCCGGGATCCCTGGTGCAGGCTGAATGAAAAGGCAGTGCTCGGAGAAAGGCAGACGGGACCTCACAACAATGGCCAAACACTTGAAGACTGTGTTTCATTCCACAAGGAAAGCTTCACCTCCGTGCCTCTTAGTGTGGGCTGGGCTCAGTGGCGCATTCCAATGAAGGAAAAGTGGCCACAGTGGCAGTGCATGAGTCTGAGACGAGATCAGGACAGGCCTGAGGGACTCGGGTCACTGTCTCTGGGGACACTAGCAGCCCTGTGGTGAGGACACTCAAGCAGCCCCGTGGGGAAGAACTGAGGGAGAAGCCGAGGTCTCTTGCCAAGGAGCCCCGAGAGTGCGTCAGCTCGGAAGTGGACCTCCCAGCCACAGTCAAGCTTTCAGATGGTGGCAGCCAGGGCAGTGTCTGATGGAGGCCGACGGTCTGGCTAAGCCGCTCCCGAATTCCCCACCCACGGAACCTGCAGGACATCATGAATGTGGCTTTGAGCCACTAATATGGGGAAGAGACTTGTTAAGCAGCAATAGATAACTAATACACATTTGATAAAACAGATGTTCCTTTTCTGTATTTTCTTCTAGCTTCCAAGGATTCCTGAAGAATTTCAATACCGAGGGCACCTCCCTCTTATCTTTGAGCTTTGAATATGAGTGATAGATTGTGTGGCCATAGGTGGCAGTTTTGGTCTAGCGTGATTATCAACAGCACCCCTCCTTCACTATCGCAAGTGTGCTGGTTACTAACAAACTGCACTGTTATGCTGTCTGTGGGTAAATACGTCTCCTATGTGGTGTTTTGTGGGCGGGGGGAGGCAGGCCCTCAGGCTTGGTTCTGTGTCTTGACTCGGTTCCTTCCGTGAGCAATGGGTGGCTGAGGGACTGAACTCCCAGTGGTGGACAGTACGCGTGAGCCCGGTAGCAGCCATAGCCAGCAGAGCAGAGCTGCCTGGGAGCTGGAGCCTCCCAGGGTTCTCTGAGTATCTTCAATGTGCTGGGAACCACACACACTGATCAGACCACACTGCCACTTGCGGATGGTGTAAGACACTTCCTAACAGCTGCCAAAGAACCTGCAGGCACCTGCTGTTGGCTGTATCTCGAACACAGCAAAGAGAAAACCGGATTAAAGTCAGGCTTGTTCTTGGATCCGGAGACCCACCAGGGGAAGCACAGATGCTCCCATGGTCCAGGCTGGCCACACACTTGTCAGGTTTCTGCTCTGAAGAGATGCCAGGCTCCAGGCGCCAGGAGAGCTGGGATTGGTGGGTCTCTGGAGACAAGCCAGGGCCTCATATCTAGTCTCCAGCAGGCTGCCCCCAGGGAGAGGGGACAACCGTATTTGACAGTTCCTCCAGGGAAGGCCATTCCAAGAGGTACAGACATTTGTGAAACTCCTTCTTTACCTGATCTCTCTCGTGGCAAGTTAGGCCATTTGCCTGTTATTCTGTGCTCTTGAAATTGGGAAATAACTGGACCCCGGCCCCTCTTCATGAATTTGAACGCCGTTCCCATTTCCTCTTTGCTGTTTTAGGCAAATCAGCCCCGGTTTCGTTAACTTGCCTCGTGGGTCCTCTTCTCACTCCCTGGATCATGTTTTGCTCTCCTTTGGCTCCACTCCAGTCCCTTGATTTCTCTTAGGCTGTGGAGGCCCAGTGTGGCCGTGCAGCTCCGAGAAGGGTCTGCAGGAGGCCGTGGGAAGCAGCGGCTGGTTTATTGCGTCTGTTTGTTGGTGGTGGGTCTCTGTGTGGTGGAGACTTGGAATTCCTCTTCAGAGGCCTGGACTGGCTTCCCCTGTGGGGGTAAAGGAGCGGTTCCCAGTGGGTCTGCGGAGGCCGACTCCTCTGACATGGGTGTGTTGGGCCCCCCAAGCCTCGCTACACAGCCTTGCTTGTGGCGTGCTCGGCCCTACTCCTTCACGGGAGTTATTCCAGCCCGCTCCCTGGGTCTCAGTGTTCTGTGCTGCTCTGATGAGCACTTTCACACAGACCTCCTTTCTCCCGTTAACTCCTCGATGGACTTGGGCAGAAGAGCCAACTCAAGTTCCCAGGGCCTGGGGGTCCTTTGTTCTTCCTCCTGCACTGAGCTCTGGTCTAGGATCTGATGTAGCTTTAAATTTGTAGCAATTACCAAGCATCTGACACTTTTTCTCACCACCGCATCCCGACCGGCAGCATCCCAATGCCATAAGCCTCCAAATCCTGTCAGTGGGAACATCCCCCACTGCCTCCCTGGCATAGACCCTGCCAGCATTCCTTTCCCCACTCTCAACAGTACTCACCACAGGCCCTCTTCCCATGACCCACCAGTCCTGTGACAGGGCATAGCTTTGAGCCTGCCTACAATAATCCTCACAGACAGCCTCCATCCTGCCTCGGATCTCTCTGCCCCAGGCCTCCAGGATCTCATCAGCTCCCACCGAATCCTGTTCATTACTCTTCTTTAGGGAACAAATGGAGGCTCTGAAAAGTGACCCGCCCATGAATGCAATACTTGATAGCAGGACAGCTGGGGTTGGAAGCTGGGTCTGTCTGGTTCCAAGGATCTCCGTTCCTTTCCCCCCTGCTAATGCTGGCCCCAAACCCAAGTCACACCTGCCCCTTCCTTTCTCTCTCTCTCAACCAGGCCCTTCTGATTGGGTGTCATGTCCTGTCCATTCCACCTCAGAAATCCCTCCTGAGTCTGCACCCCTCAGCCCTGCTCCCCAGTCCCAGGGCTGGGAATCCTGGGGCCTCCTCTTGGTGACAGTCACAGGCTCCTGAAGCTTGTTTTTCTGTCAGTCCAGCTACTGCTACTGCAAGAGCACTTTTAAAATGAAAATCTGACAAAGCCTCACTGAATCCCTGTTGTCTCCACTGACATATTGAATGTCCTTCAGAGACATAGGAGGTATGTGGGACCTGACCACAGCCAGCGTTCAAGCTGTGTCTCTCTCCCACCCCGATACACAGCCCCTCCTTTAGCCATCTGGGACAACTCGACATGCGAAAGTGTTGAACACTCCTGGTTTTCCACAGGCTTCTCCCGATGTCAGAATGCCCTCTACTTCTTTCCACCAGCTGATCCACCCTTCAGGGCCCAGAGTGGGGCCATTTCCTCTGTGTTGTCTTTTCTATGACTCCAGGCAAATTGGAGACTTCCTTCTTTTGCTTGCACACTTCTGTGTATCCACTGCTAGTGTCAGGCTCCCCACTCTGTACTCTAATTATTGTTGTGTGAGCCTGTCTGCCTCGCTAGACAGGGAGTCCCTGGTGGCAAGGCCCCTTGACTTGCTCACGGTTATGTCTGCCGACCCATGCCTGGCCCAGAGCCTGGCAAAGAGAAGGGACAGCAATTTCTGGCTGAGCGTGTTCCCACTTGGGTCTCTAAGACTTCTCCTCTCTGTTCAGCTTTCCATTCCAGGCTCAAGAACAGTGATTCCATGCGTGTGTGTTTGTGCTGAGGTGGAAGAAGATGCATAGACAATACTTCATTCCTCTCCCTGACCATTCTCCCAATAACCTCCATAATCGTTCCAACTAAGGCCTATCACCATTGCAAATGAAGTTAGAACTGGTTTCCACAGAGCTAGCAATCTGTACTAGGACATGTTTTATTTTCAATCTTTGACTTTTAACTAAGTCTGTTACATCTGGTACTATTTTTAACTTTAATGGAATAAAATAAAACTCTTTCAAAACTCTGAACAATCTCTAACTGTGTTTTGTTCTGGGAATCAGACAATGGATGAGCATTGTGGCGACTGGGAGATATTACCAACAATGGGAAAAATAAGTAAGCATGAGTGAGAATCGTCTGAAACCAGAAGTATGGGCTGGGACTTACTCAGAAAGTCACATGGAAGGGGCTGGGTCACGAAATCAAATTTGAAGGTTTTTTAAAAATTATCATCTCATGTACTAGAGAACCCCTTGCACCTGGTAGAGTGCCAAGTAATGTGACAAAATCTAATCATGGGAAATCAAATCCCTGTCCCCTCAGGAAAATGCTGTCTCTCTTGGGGGCAGGATGCAGACAGTCTTCTGTGCCGTGTGGACAAATGACCCACCGTGGTGAGCAAGCAATGAGGCAGCAAAGAGGAGACTGTTGAAGTCACGTGGAAGCCGTGCCTGCAGCCCGAGCTGCTAAGGCACACTTCCAGCAGCCCAGGGAGCTGCAGCCTCACTTTGGCTGGGCTGACGTGGAATTGGATTCCATGTCCCATGGCACTGCGTTGGAACACCAGCAGCAGTACCCAAAAGTGTGGTTTTGCTGTTCAAAATCAGCCACTGCTTCACCTGCCCGTGGAAGGAAGAACGTGCCCTGCATCTTCATCCCTGAGCAGCATGTTGTCCCCAACCCCATGTTGAGCTTCCTAATGACCATCAGGCTTACACCTGCCAGTGTGGGCCCAATGGTGACCAGCAACACGATCTCCATCCTAGAGGTGACCATCCTGGGGAGAGAAGATGCATGCAGTCAGCACTGAGACAATAGAGCATCTGTGTCACCCCCCAAATTGGTCCCTTAGTCCTTAACAGAACAGACGCCAGCAGTCTCAGCACAAATTATTTTACAGCTGAACCCCGCTTCCTTCTGGTGCTTATACTTATGGCAATTGACCTATTTCACGCTTCTTTCACCGACTTACGTTTGAGTTCTATTTTGGGAAGTGACACAAAAATCCCTTGTATCCTTGCAAAAGAGGAAGAGGAAGAAACACACACAGGCACACACATACACGCTCCCCAGAATTCTAGGCTGTAGTAATAGTCTACAAAGGAGCATTTGTTTTCTGTCACCAAAAAACCTTGTCAGAAAGCACTTAAAAAGTGTCAACAGTCCTTTCAGAAATAAAACATATATATGTTAACTTATTAGATGCTTATCTGGTAAGATGTCTGCGGAGTAATGTCAATACCTGTTGGTGGAAAGTCCCATCTCAGAAACAGGGCCAGACAGTGATGGATGAGTCCCTGCAGGTTCAGATGCCAAGGGCCCTCAGAAAGCCCACCACTGTGGTGGTGTTGGTGCCCTCCACAGATGCCCACTCCCAGGGCACCCTGTGCACAGCAGAGGGGAGCCCTGCCTGGGGCCGTTGTGCTACCCTCTCACCTTCTGGCACTGTGTCAGACTATGCTTCATGGCTAGCCACAGGGTTTCCCCTACGTAGTGTCACTTTAATCAGAGGTTGGATATCAGAGTACTGACCTCACAATGAGCCACTGGAATAAAAACTACATACCTGAGTATACAAGACAATTACATTCGGGGTGGCAGATGACCAGACACCCAGTTCCCAAGTGCTATCTTAGGCCTGACAGCACTGACACTATGACAATGGCAGTGCCCATTTGTTGAGTATATATTACAGTCCAAACACCTCACATATATTGTTTATAAACTTCCCTATTCCCTGTGAGGGATATTTTAGCTTACCATTTTAAAAATGAAAACTACACCTCAGTGATATTAAATAAATTACTCAAGACACCCCAACTACTAAGTAGCAAACCCAAACTAGGACTTGCACCCAGGTCTGCCTAATTCCAGAGACTGCATTTTCTTCCCCTAAACCAAATTGCCTCTTATAAAAGCAGATTCCACCCAGATTTGGACTTAAATCCTGTGATCATCCCACTGCCAGTAAAGCATTTGGTTTCTTTCCCTTATCGCCTATAAGATGGGAGCACTCTTTAACGTTGGTAGATTTTTAAGGCAATTAAAAAATGGAAAGACATTAAAAATGATATGGCATCCTGGATCATATCCTGGAAACAGGGGATTAGTGGAAAAGCTAGTGAACTCCAAATGGAGTCTGGCATTTAGTTAATATTAATTTACCGATGTTAGTGTCCTGGCTTGGACACGTGGACCGTGTGATTTTAGACGTTGACAATAGGGGAAACTGGGCAAAGGGTATGCGAGAACTCTCTGTGATATCTCTGTCACTTTTCTGTAAATCTGAAGTGATTCCAAAATTTAAAAGTTTACCTTTTTTAAAAAGGGATGCCTAAATAAATAAAAGGAAAAAAATGGAAATGTGGTAATCCTCCTGTGGTTCCTGAGTCTCAAGATTTGCACAAGTAGATTTATCATAAGCTGAAGAGACAGGAGGACTAATAATTTCTAGTTGTACATCAATGCATTGGGATTAATATACTTACGTAACAAATTTATTTAAAAACACTACCAAAAGCATTGTTGTTTTTTGTCCTTGTTTATTTTCTTAATCGATGAATGCCGAGTGGAACTACTATCCAATGTAAACATTTTTGACATTAGAAAGTGGTCCTAAAACCACGCGAAGAAATGTGTGCATGGTATGCTACCATTTATCCAAGAAGATGTGCTGTAAATATATGTGCCTGCGTATATCATTACATTATTATACCATATTGTTTTCTAAATGAAAAGATAAGCCATAAATATTTTTAAATGATTCCATATAAGGGGAAGAAGGGATCGTGACCAGGAGGAAGGAAGAGGCTAGACTCCACTGAATATACTTTGTAGGTGTGATTTTGAAACCATGAATATAGTCTTATACAAGTATAAAATGAAGTGAAATATTCAGAAAAGTAACCCCTAGAAGTCAAGAGCAAATTGAAATAAATAAACCTAGCCATCTACTGATTTGTGGCATGACCACAAAGACAGAAACTATTCCATGTGACTTTAAAATACTCATTTGACTGTACATCCTTAGTAAGACATACCCTAAGAACAGGAAGAACATACAAAAGAAAGAACAACTTAAAGGGTATTCAACAATCGTGTTATTGACTCTATGGTTAGGGTTGTTCTTCTGAGACTTAAGATTGATGGGATCAAGTGAAATAGCTCCTGAATTTTAACCAGAAGCAGTCTGATAAACTCATTATACGTTGTGTTTTAAAAAATGCTTTCTAGCCTTACGCACTAAAAGGTCTGGAAACAATGACACACCCATCACTAGTGAAAGCTTCTAGTGTCTAGACTGTGGACTCCAAGCACCATTTCTCATTAACTGCAACCAGGGCTCCTGGGAGAAATGGCTGCTTCCAGGTCTGGGACAAGCAATGTAGCAGGTGAGCCTGAAAATCTTGTCGTATCCAAAGATAGGAAGCCATCAACCATAACTCGAGTCTTGTGAAAAGGTCTTAGGATCTAACCTGACTAGGCTGCCATTAGTCAAAGATGGAGCAATTTGAGCATCAAAACTAATAACAGTGACTTGAAAGACACCAAAATATTTGTACAGTCATGCATCACTTAACGACAGGATACGTTCTGAGAAATCCATCCTTAGCCAGTGTTGCCCTTGTGTGAACATCACTGAGTGTACTTACACTAACTTAGGTGGGATAGCCTCCTTCACACCTAGGCTCTATGATACTAATCTTTTGGGACCACTGATGTATATGTGGTCTGTCATTGATCCAAACGTCATTATGCCAGGTGTGACTGTATTCAGGAATTGACTAGCATGGATTAAAAAAGGCAAACAGGAAACATCCCTTTGGTGGCTCAGGATGCCAGAGAACCAACATCATCTGTGGAAAATGGGTTAATGAAAAGAGAGATTCAAGCATTTATCCTGACTTCTGTAAGAACCCTACCTTAGGGTATTCAAACAGTTGACGAGAGAAAGTCTCCTTATAGAAATGGGCCAGGTAATGAATGAAGAAGGATCCAATTCTTTATACTCTTCTGTTTTTTTAATACTCAGCCTTTCCATAATAAGATGGATTTTAAAAGAGTCTAATTCAGACAAATAATGTGCCAAATATAACAAAATGTTAATTATTAAATAGGTTGATGGATATATTAGGGTAGTTATTACCCTTTTCTCTCTACTTCTCCATGTGCTTGAAAATGTTTCTACTTAAAACTAAAAAGACTTTCACTGGGAAAAACTGAAGTAGGTGCTCATGCTTCAAATCATGGGAGTCACTGTAGAAAAGACTGACGTACTTGCTGTTACAATTATTGATGAAAGTGTATGTGCAGACACCATATTACACAAATTCAGATGTAATTACCTTGTTGTTAACACCAGTGTTAATCAGCAGGAAGTGAGGTCCAGGGAGCTGTCACCCAGAGTCACAGGCTGTGCCTGCGGTCAGTCCCGAGCCGATCTCTACCTATCCTGTGATCTTCCTGGTTCTGGAACATTTACATTTCAGAATCACATCATTTTTCCGGTTTATTGTTGATCATTCCTATGACTTGGGGATGCTTTCTGTGTTCTAGGATATCAAGTGATAACATTCTGTGCTGTGTGTTTGTTACTTGATTTTTGACTTTAAAATGTGTCATTGGGTTATAACATACATTCAGAGAATTGCGTGAATATGAAGTATGCAGCTGCACGAGTGTCACTTATGTCTTGTGGACAGGTTTCTGGAACCCCTCTCCCTGGTCCAGTGGGTGAATCTCACCCGCAAACTGCATAGGCGTTAAGTCAGTCCGATAACACCCACGCTGTGCTGCGCAGGAGCCGTGCAGGCCGTCTTCAGCCTGTGTCACACGACCTTGCGTCCCCACGTCTCATGACTGAAGACGCCAGTTGGACCTCTGCAGAGCAGGAAGAGGTGAGAGGGCAGCTCGCTCTCACCCTCCCCCGCTGCATTGCTTAGAGATTGTGGGAATAATTAACGACCCTGGTCCTCGTCTCCCTCCACACGTAGATAACGTCAGCGTCTCTGAACTTGTTTGATGATTGACTGAAGATGCTTGTTTATGTCACCCAGATGCGCCGTATCCTTTTTTGACATAGATGAAATCTAGTGGCAAGTTTTTTCCCTCTTCTCCTCTTCCCTGCATGTACACTGTTGGTAAAAGAGACAGAAGCTGCCCTTCACCTCACACCCTCGGAGCAGTCCCATCAGAGCACCCTGTGGAACTGGTTCTCGGGGTCCCACTCCTCACCCCGAGTATTGAATGAACTCCGTCACCAATATCACCTGGAGCTTTCTCTCAGTTGACACTATGCAACCTGTGTACCACCTCCCGGGGCAGGATGTAGAATATTTCCCATGCCTCCACCCCTTGTGCCCCTCCCTTGTCACAACCCTCCTCCTGGGAAATGGCTATGCTGAGGTCTACCACCAGAGATAGAAGTAGGATCCTAGTGGGTGGTCTTTTCTCTCCTGCTCTTTCGCTCATCATGATGTCTGGGAGAGTCACACTGTTGCTGCAAGTGGCAGGAGCTATGCTTTTTGTTGCTGTTGTAGTAATCCCATCATGTGAATATACTCAAGTTACTTATCTATCCTATTTGATGGAAAGTTGAGTTGTTTCCAGTTCTCCACTATTGTGAGTAGACTGGCGATGAACATTCCCATAAGAGTCATCTGGCAGATGTGTGCAGCCCACGTGTCATGGAATAAACCCCGGGTGGAATTGCTCAGTCAGAGGAAACCAACCATATGTTTACCTTTGGGAGGTCATGGGCAAAGCACTTCCAACAAGGTCCTCACAACTATGACTCCCGCCAGCAGCAAATGAGAGTCCCAGCTGCTTCATCTTCCCAGTGACACAGTTGTCACTGTCCTTGCCATTCTGCTATCAGCGTTTAGGAACCTCCTCCAAACTGTCCTGTGTTCCTCTGCAGAGTCAGTGTGCCCTCCTGTGGCTCGCACAGCATCTTCTCCATCTCTGCCACAGCTCTTGCCATCTCTGGTGGAGCTTTGCTTCCTCTGTGTCTCCCCTCGTTAGAATCTAACTCCCCAGGGGCAAGGGCGGTGCTCTCTTCTTCTTCTTGATATTCCAGGAGCTTACACAGGGCCAGGGACACAGTCGTGGCTCAATCAGAGTTTGATTCAATGAGTAAATGAATGAGTGGATGAATGAATGAATCAGTCAATTGGTCAATGTTCTGAAGAAATTAAAACCTACTTACCTGGCAGGACATGGTGCACATTTTATATAAACAACTAAGCTCTTTGGGCCACGCGAACCTCTCTCCAGAGCTGTACACACAGGGAGAATTTTTGGCCTGAAATTCAGAGAGCGCTCAGGGATGGGGAGAAGCTTTCATCTCCAAGGCCTCATTTGCACTGGGCCTGCAGCACAGAGAGCAGGACTCGGTGCCAGGATGGGGGCTGCCCAGGCTGTGCTGAGCTTGGATAGTGTGGATCCGCTTTGCAAAGCCCCACCTCTTCCTCTCGAGCGACCGGATCCCCAGGATTCCCAGGAAACAGCATGTGCACGCCCTTCCGTTTCTCAGTCGCTGCCGAGACCAGCAGGCTCCTCCGTGTGCGGGCTTGGTGGGCTACAAAAGCTACACCCGCCCTGGCCCCACCTCTGAGTTCAGGGATTCCCAGCCGTGACCTCGGGGTCCAGATGCACGTGCCCAGAGGAGAATGATCGTGGAGATGCAGTTTTGGTCTCCTCTAATAGACAGGTCTGCCTATTATGTATAATTTATTATATTTTTATATATATAATATATAAATTATATATAAAATATTTTACAAATTATATTTATATAATATATATAATTTATAATATATAGTAAAATATAATAATTTATATATAATATAAAGGCTGCCATTTGTATAATGGGAGATTGAGAGTGCCCTGCTGTATTACAATAACCTGAGCGCCTGTGGAGACAATTCTAACCACCAACAATTCAAAGGCAAAGCCCATCGTTCAGGAAAACATTTGGTTTTCATTGAACTTCTGCATTGTGATTGCCCCAGTGGACTGATATCTGCAACTTTTGTTATGAGCTGTTTAGGAGCATTTTGACATGTAGGGGGTGCTGCCGAATGGAAAACAAATGTTCAAAGAGATGAGCACTGAGAAAAGCAGAGTTCTGAGAGAGAGACCGTGGGCACTGGCATGAACGTCATTCTAGTCTCACCAGCGTTTCTTCAAGTCACACCAGCCTGGAGGTGAGAAGAGGCAGAATTCTTACTGCATTTATCTAAGGGTTTACTGCATTGTCTCTACTGGCTCCTGAGGGCACAAGACTCAGCCCTTTACTTCCAGGTGGCTCCTAGGACTGTCGCATGTACAACTTGAGCAAACATCCTTGGCCTCCGTTGTGCCCCACTTCCCCTGGCCCTGCCCTCAGCCCCATCTCCCTGAAGCAGTGAACAAGGAAACAGCAGAAGTGCCCGATGCCCAGGGCTGAGCTCTGGCAGCATGCACTGGGACAGGTGACCACAACCAGCCTGCCTGCTTTCCCAATGTCCCCTGGGAGTTTTAGTGAAGACAGCAGCTGTCAGTTCAGCCTGAAATGTCTATCACAGTGGCATACTCTCATGCTTACTTCCCCTGTTCCCCCAAGGAAAGACAGTCCTGTGTGGCTGTCCTCATTTCTCCAGGCTGCTGGACCATTTCTGCCAGGCAAATTCCCAGCTTTGTGTTACAAGAGGAGAGGATGGGATGGGGACGGCAGGAGAGAGGCCAGCGAGAGAGGCGAAGCTTCCTCCCAAAGTCCATTGATGCGATTTGTGTCCCAAAAAGAAGGACTGGACTTCCTGTGGGTCTGCTTGTGGCTTTTGAACCATGCTTCTTGAACGTCACCCCAGCTGTGGCCTGTTAGGCCCCATTCCAGTCCCCTCTTCTCCTAGGACTCAGACGTGAACAAATGTAAACCTGAGGCAGCCTCAGTCCTCAGAACAGCCCATCCTCTTGGGTGACCCAGGCCCCCTGAGCAGACCTGCAGCCTGAAGGGCTGTCTCTTCTCCAGGATGAGTTCCATGCAGGAGGCTGCCCGCCTGTCTGCCCACCCAGGTCACTGCCCCCAGGGAGCAAGGCTGGGGGTTAAGCTGGTATGGGAGTAAATGGCCAAGAAGGGCTTCCTCCAGCAGCTCTTCCCATTCCCTCGGGCTGGGTCCTGCAGCAAGGGGCAGCGGACACATCCCAGGAAGGCCGGAGTCACAAGAACTTTTTCCTGTCTCCAGTGACAAATGTAAGCGATCAAAGCTCACCCCCTAGTCAATTATTCAGATAAATCTGAACAACATCAGATGGCCCATAAAGGTTTGTTTGTTTCGTTTTACCCCAATTAGACTAGATTTATGGCACTTGGATTCATAGGTGCACACATCCATCAGTGTCGGGGAACATCACGGCAATATTCTCATTTGAAAACAAGATAAGCAGAGAAATGCATTTTACAAATATTATAGATAATTTGTCTTTCTTGAAAGCCAGGAATGTAAAATTATAATAATTTCTGATTTTGATATACATAAAACATTGAAAATTAAAATAATGTTTATTAATACATCTCATCTTTATCTTTCAATATATTTTCAGCTACTTCCATGTCATAGGAAATTTAGCATTAACAATTCTTGCAGCGGATGTAGGATTGCACACTTTTCCCTTTCTTCCAGGAATTCTGTAGTCTCCAGGCGTGTCCTGTGTCCCCAGCTCCCTCCCGGGAAGGCCCGATATCTTGCACATCCTTTCACGAGGGCACCTGTGTGTCTGAATCTGTGCAGGATTCCTCCCACAAACCTCACAAGCCTGTGACACAGTACAGCGGGCTGTGATCGCCCCATGAGCCCCATAAAGGACGATCCTGTGCACAACAGGCCTCAGGAACACACGCCCTGAGGGAGTAGAGAACAAGCCCTGGGAACAGTCCAGACCATGCGGCTCTGTGCGCATGACCGAAGGAGAGTGTCAGAGGAGGCACACAGGCCCCTGCTGGGCCGGCAGCGGGCAGGGAGCATCCTCCTCCCGAGGGAGCGGCACGTCGATACTGGGAACAGGAAGCTCTTGTCGCACTGGGGCCGGGCCGGGAACCTGTGTCCATGGGTGGCACACCCAGCGCCACACCCTGGTCTCTGGGGCCCCGGGTCAGAACAAGGTGGTGGTGGGCGCCCTGTGCCCCTGGCCGGGAGCAAGCTGGCTACTGCTAAGCAGGGACTCCTAAGCCGAGGCACAGCAGCTCAGTGGTCACACTGTTCAGTCCCTTAATTTCTGAAGTTCAAATGGAATGGGCACCGTATCACAGGCCTTGATGAGAGTGGATTATGATAACAAGAAGTACAGGTCAAAGTGCAACACGCGGTGCGCATCCTCTGTGCTGCTAATGAATGAGGGGGATTTAAAAGAAAAGAAAATACCCTTCACAAAAGGGTACAAAATCAAAATAAATAAAATCCTTACATAAAAATCTAAACAAGTAAAGACATATCTGTATCCAGAAAACTACCAAATGCTGTGAAAAGCTAGCAATGAAAACCTACCTAATAGGAGACATATTTCACTTCCATGATCAGTAGACTCAGTCTAATTAAGATGTCAGCTCTTCCCGACTGGACCTACAGAGTCAACACAACCCCAGTCAATGTCCCAGTCAGATACTTTGTAGACATCTACAAACCGTTTCTGCAACTGGAATATCCTGCACAACACTGAAGAGCAAAGTTGAGTAAGCCGCACTTCCCCATTCCAGGATTTAGAAAGGTACAGGGAGTGTGATGCTGGGGTAAGAATGTGCCAGGAGATAAATGGAAAAGAATACAGAGTCCACAGATAGACTCACAAACATGGGCAACTGATCTTTGTCAAAAGATCAGAGGCAATTTGATGGAGAAAAGTTAGTCTTTTAAACAAATGGTGATGGCACAATCGGGGGGCCATGTGGAAAAAACTTAAAGACGCCAACTTTTCACATGACACAAATATTCACAAAAATTGTTCATGGATGTAAACATAAACTGCGAACCTATCAAAATTCTAGAACTAGCAAAGGAGAAGATATGACCTCAGTTTTCATAATGACCTTTTATCTTCAACATTGAAAGAACGAGTCTTCAATGAAAAATCCAGTTGGGGGGACTTTGTTAGAATTAAAATTTTCTGCTCTGTGACAATCACTGTTAAGAGAAGAAAAAGACAACCCTAGACTGTGCGAAATCTTTGGAAGAAGCCTATCTAAGAAAGGGCTTGTATTAAAATGTACAAAGCATCATAAATTCAACAATAAGAAAACAAACATTCCAATGAAAAATGGGTCAAGATCTGAACAGACACCTCGCTAATGAAGGTATAAGCATACAATAAGCATGCAAGAAGATGCTCAAAATCACTTATCATTAGAGAGAAGCAAGTTGAAACAAAGTGAGACGCCTTGACACACAAATAGACGAGATCAATTCATGGCTGGGGGGTAGGACAGCACAGACTCTCTGTCATCACTGCTGCCCATGCCGAGTGGTGCAGCCACTGTGGAAGACACTTGGGCACTTTCTTACAGGGCTAAACATCATCTTAACACGTGATCCCTCAACCATCTTCCTAGGTATTTACACAATGTTTTCAAATAGAACGTCAACAAAAAAGCCAGCACACATATATAGACTGCACCTCATTTATACAGGCAGGGAACTTGAATGAACAAAGATAACTTTCCATAAATGAAAGGACACCCAAATGAGGTACATCCATGCAATGTAATGCTATCAGGTGCCAACACTGAAAGAGCTATCAAGATGAAAACACATGGAGGAATCTCAAATTCACCTTTCTAACAGAAAGAAGCATCTGCGAAGGCTGGATAGAGTACGGTCTCATTGATATGGCATTCTGCAAACACAAAGCTATCAATTTGATACACAGATCAGCTTCCCAGTGCTGTGCAGGGATGGTGTGGGCGGAGAGGTCAGGAAATCTGTGTGATGCTTTAATGGCGGATACTTGCCTCTCTGCCTTTGACAAAATCCCCAGATTTTTACAGTAGAAAGAGCAAATCTTGACTTACACAAATTAGTAAAATGATTTAGGTGGGTGGATCCTTGGATGGAATGCAAATGAGACTAAAGAGTGTAACTATATTGAGAATGGAAAAAACACACAGCAAGTGGTGGGGGAAGTGGTGTTGACCTAAGGACCTTTGGAAATGACTGGAATCTGTACAACTACAGGAAAAGAAACCGACCAAGCAAAGAACCCTACTTGATAAAGTTCTTTCTCAACAGTTACTGGTTAATAACTGTGAGGCCCCTATGCATCTAGACTGGGATTGGAGAAATGACTGAGTGGTCGCCAGACAGCAGGAGACAGGGTTCCACTACTGGAGGGCAGGTTTCGGGGAGGGCAGGGCGCGGGCTGGAGGGCTCCATGTGGCCATGCATTCGAGTGGGAAGCCGTGCTCTGAACTGATGCTGACCTTAATCTAAACATGGCCGTTTCCATATAGACACATTTATAGCAGACAGTGTACACACGGTAAGGTCAGCACACCAGCCTAACTTAAGCATCCTGCCACCGAGAGGCCAAGAAGCAAGGACACCCAGGAGCAACCAGCACACTGAGCTCACAGATCCATGTTTTTAATGCATTGTCTCATACAAGGAGCCAGCGTTCCTTGAGGAAAAGGCTGATTCCAGGCTGAGGCTGAGAATGCACAAGACAATGCTGCAGAGTCCTGCAGAGCTGGAAAGTAAGGCGGTGTTAAACCACCAACCACACACGGCATTTTTCGATCACTTTCACATCCTAAGACACATTAAGCATTAAAAATAAAGAAGACACCTATACGATTGCAACCATTTCCCCTTTCACCCCAGGCTGCCATCTGCCAGTCCCCATCACTCATGATTGAAAAGTTCCAATATCTGGCATATTCACTTCACAGTCATGTAGGTTTCCCTTCTCCTTTAATTTGTATCAGAATTTCTCCCCAGAAACAATCCTGAATATGCAACAAATACCCAGCATGCTGTGATTCTGAGCCTTCCAACACCTCAATGAAGAGATACTTTTGTAAAGTAAGTCTTCTTAAAACATGACTGAGAAAGTAGAGAATAAACCACGAGGGAACAGCCCAGAAAATAAAGCTTCTGTGCTGACCGTTTAAGAAAAACGTCGCGGGGCCCCGAACGCAGCCCCCTCGTCAGCCATGAGGGCCAGACAGGAGGTGTGTTCTTTCTGAGCAGGAGACCCCAACATGACCGCAGCTGTGTCTCCTCCATCCTCCTGACAAGCGAAGCACCTTCCCCGCTGAGGATGCAGCTCCTGCGGCCTCTGGCAGAACCCGCAGGCACCCCACGCTGCTCACAAATGGAGGTCCATGCGCCCCCTGCCGGACACCGGGGGCAGAGCAGGAGGCTCAGAACTCACAGCTGGAGGTGGATGGGCGCCCCTTCCGGAAATGGTGCTAAATTCCTCAAACCCGAGTGCCCTAGTCTCTTTGCGATGGTCCCGAGGACGCTCTGCTGCAGCCAGCGCTGCTCTCTTGCCCAGGACATGCCCCACCCCTTGGAGCCATGGCCTGGAGAACAAGGGAGTCACCAGGCTTTGGAGTCCTTGAACAAGACCGCCTCGATGCCACGGCACAATGAAAGCACCCATTTCAAGTCCCTAGAATACAGCCACCCATTTTCATCATCAGAGTCTCCACAGGATGTTAGGTGTTAGACTCAAAGGACTGCAGCTCTGCTTGTGATCAGACCCTCTTTGATAAACTGCCCTACAGACTTGATCACAGTCACAGAGAACTGAAGCCAAAGATGAGAGCTGAAAATCTGTTGGCTCGTCCTCATTTGTGGTCCTGAATTGTGGTCCAGAGGTGCTTCCGAGGAATCCGCAGCTCTCTGAAGCCCTGGAGGACAGCTGGTCTGCCTGAGAGCTTGTCGGGGAGGGAATCCAGCTGTGTAGCAAGTGCATCCAAAACTGATGAAGTGAGGAAGAATATTCGGGTCCTGACTGTCTCTGTTCGATTGTATTTTTAGGCACAAGAAAGTAATCTGCACTTCTACCAGCTACAAACTATCTGAAAACAAAAGAATGGTAATATATTTAAAATGTGATACATCTTTAATATCAAAAAATTGTTGGGAGAGAATGTGATTTTCATTTTTTAAATAAACTTATGCACAGGTGGCAAATTATCATGCTCTACACCTGAAACTTATACAATAAGAAAAAATAAATAAACTTAAGAATTACATTTTTAATTTACCCTTTCAGCTCTTCAAGGGCTATTTACTGTTTCCAGATTTGGAAACATATTTTTTCATGGAAAACTTGCTTCAGAACAATTTTTGTTACAGACTTCTTTAAAGTCAAGTCAAGTCATCTGCTGGCCCAAACATACATGAAAATATCAGTTATTGGAACATTATATAGATTTGTTTCCTGCATATAGCATCTCAACACAAGCTTTCAAATAGCAAGTGACTCTGCCTATTCATTTTCCTCCAGTCAGAGGGTCAGGACCCAGCTACCTTCAATTTGGGGATTTGCCCTCTTCGACATGTGGATTCGGCTCTGGGCATGTCCTTGGGTTCCTTCCATAACTTTGCAAAGGGGAAATGTATGGCACATCCTGAGGCACGTTTTCATGGACTGAGCCTATACATGCAAACAGCCCTTCCAGCCCATTTCCTTGCTGAACACTACTTCACATGGGCACAGAGTGAAGAGAGCAAAGAGGCTGGAAAGGAAATATTATTGTGGTACTAGTGGAAAAAGAGAGACTTTGGTCTAGAAGCCTCTTTTGGGGTTGTTTGTTTTATTTGTTTTGTTTTTTGATGAGGAAGATTGTCCCTGAGCTACCATCTGTTGCAAGCTTCCTCTGTTTTGCATGCAAGTCACTGCCACAGCCTGGCTGATGAGAAATGGGTACGTCTGCACCCAGATCTGAGCCCAAGAACCCCCCCGGCCGACCTCTGAAGTGGAGCACATGAACGTTATTAACCACTATGCCACCCGGCTGGCTATTGGTTTTTCAATATGTTCACAAATGCTATTTTTAGAACAAACAACCAATTTTCTTGCTTGCACACATTTTATTCAGTAAAAAGTGTGACTCAGTGTCTGATTACCCATGTATAAATTGGACTTTATTATTAAGAACATCTCCTCGTCAAATGATATCTTCGAGAGAGTGAGAAGGCAAGAACAGAATGGGAATAAACACTTGCCATATTTTATCTGGAAAAGCCTCATAAGATAGTAACTAACTCCCATAAATTATTAAGAAAACAGACAATTGCCAGAAAAAATGGGCAAAAGATTCAACTAGGCGTTTCACAAAGAAGAAAATTAAATGCCCAACAAGTATTTGAAAAGGTGCATAACATTGTTACTGGTGGGGAAAATGTAAATTAACACCAGATGTGATACTAATGCACAATGACTAAAACAAAACCACTGAAAATATGAAGAGTCGGTGAGGATGGAGAGTAACTGGGCCCTCACAGACTGCTGAGGGTGTCAGCCACTTTCAAAAGCTCTTTTAAGATCTCCTGAAGATGGAGCTTCACATACTCTAGGTCCCCAAAATTCCTCTCTTAGATAAACACCCAATAGAAATGCCTACATATGTTCCTCACTGCAAAGAACATTATCACTTAGTTTACCTATTTCCAAGTCCTCAGGACCTATTCTGTGTTTTTATTGTTTTCCTTCTGGTCTGGGGCTTTTATACATTGCTGGGTGGTAGAGGAGTGGTTTTTTCGCATGGTGGTAGAATTCGGTTGCAGTTACAGCGTCGCCACTAGATGGGGGTCTAGTGCGCGCGTTCTGAGCTCTCTGCCTTCGGCAAGATGGCGGACGCCAGTGCTTTGCTGGGGGGGTGGGGGGTGGGGGCGGTTTCTCTTGGCGACCATC